CGAGCCTTAAATTTATCCGATTGATTAACCATGTGCCATATATTTAATCTGTTAAAAACTATCCTTCCTAAGTTGAAGTTGTTAAATCGTAAAATATTTTATCATTTAAAGCTTATTTTCTCAAAATAATTTCTTTTATGAAAAAGAATTTTTCTAATATGGCATAAAAGCTGTTTAAAAAAGCTGTTTGGCGATTTAATGATCTTACTGCCTAAGTGTTCTAAAGGTGTTCTTTTTTATCTTATTACTTCTGAACTCGTTTACGGCGAAACATCATTCTCTTCTTGCGAAGCAATAAAATTGTTATGCAAATGTTTAATTCTAAAAGCATTTTTTTTAATTATAATAATATTTTTAAATATAATAATTCTTTTGCATATAACAAGAAAAAAGAGCGGTACTTTAAAGTAATGCAAAAAAAAGGATATAGAATATAGTTGAGATATATCCCATTTTATGTGATTATTTTAGGCATGTATTAACAATATTAAGTATTAACGATAGTTATACATATATATTAAACTATGGTTTACATTTTAATCTTTTTATCTTTCACTGCTACAATGTGATTATTAATTTCTAGAAGAAGAAATTTTTAGAAGTATACTTATAAAATATAAATATAATTTCTAAATTTTTAGAAGTATACTTATAAAATATGTATATCTGTATGTGCAATTTCTTATAGATTAATATATCTGTAAAAAATTACAGAAAAATGCAGAAGAGAAGCTGTTTCAAAATAGCGTTATATATAGAGTAATAAGAATATTATGATATTCAATATATTACATTACATTAGACAGAAAAGTGTTCAATTATTAATTAGAAAGAGAAAAATATTTTATTACTCTTTAACAAGAAACGATCAAAAATGCATAATTATAGCCTTTTATACAGTTACATTTGTGCATGCAGTAAATGTAACTGCATAGTCAATTTATATATGTAATTTATTTACTACTTTATACCTTTTATACGGGTGTAAATTTAATTAAATTTAAAAAATGATTAAATGCTGAATTATTTTTTTTTCATAATTCTAAATTTATTTTATTATTATTTAATTATAAATTTATAAATTATTTTAAAAAACCTAAAAACTATCAATGCTAATATTTTTAGTTGTAAAAGAATTTTTATTAAAAAAAAAAGTATAATAATGTAATAAAAATTCCGGAAAAATTGAATTACTCTTTAGTATCATTAATTAGAAAAGAAGAGAAATTACAATATATATTTAATATTAAGGCATGATTTAAACTAATAATCATATTATCATAATTAATCTCGTAAATTGATGTACAGTTACACCTTGTAATCAAATTCTATTAGTAGAATTTATATACCTGTACCTAATTAAATAATTGCCATAGTTGCTTAAAAATATATTGTATATTTATTTGTACAATAAATGTACAAACTGACATAACAATAAAGTTATTGTTTATTTTTAAACAAATTCATATAAAAATCACCAAGAGGATTTCATATTTTTTTCTTATTTTTAACTTACAAAAAACGAAAAATTTTAATTTTTTTTACTTAGATTAATTCAGAATATGAAAAAATTCATTAAAATAAATACTGAAAATTATTTATTTCAATTATAATATATATATATAATTATATATATATAATTATATATATATATGTTTTATATATATATATAACATTTTTTCATCAGTTATATTTCGTTTTGCGAATACGATGAATAATATTAAGTGGCAGTTGCAAAAAAAATAAATATTTAGGATCTTAAAAATCTAAAATGTGTATTAAAAACAATTTTTAAAATATATTAAATGTATATAAGAAAACAATAATATTACAGAGATTTCTATCATATTTTATATATAATTTATGGTCACCTATTTCTATTGTCACGATTACAAAGGAATAAGCAAAATTGTCAATTTTATTATAAAATGAAATATTATTTGTATTAAAAAAAGAAAATACATAAAAAAACAAAGGATATTTTTGTTGCATATTTAAAACTATGATGCTTAATAGCACAATATGACTAGATAAAATGCACTTTGTTATATTATTTCAAAGTAATAGCACATAAAAATACAAAAAAAAATTTAATCTGTAACAATTCAATAATTCAATAATTTTGCTATTTTTTTCTTGTATATAATTATATATACTTACATATATATATATATTTATATATGTATGTATAAATATATATATATATTTATATATGTATGTATA